CGGGCTATGGTGAGCCCGTAGTGGACTTACCTGCACAGGGGAGCGGGGCAAGTAGCACGGGCTATGGTGAGCCCGTAGTGGACTTACCTGGCACAGGAGCGGGGCAAGTAGCACGGGCTATGGTGAGCCCGTAGTGGACTTACCTGGCACAGGAGCGGGGCAAGTAGCACGGGCTATGGTGAGCCCGTAGTGGACTTACCTGGCACAGGAGCGGGGCAAGTAGCACGGGCTATGGTGAGCCCGTAGTGGACTTACCTGGCACAGGAGCGGGGCAAGTAGCACGGGCTATGGTGAGCCCGTAGTGGACTTACCTGGCACAGGAGCGGGGCAAGTAGCACGGGCTATGGTGAGCCCGTAGTGGACTTACCTGGCACAGGAGCGTGCTGTGTGGGATTGTTGGCAACGAGAATATGGTTTTGTAGTGGTGTGTTGTTGTCTACGTAACGGCAGCGATGCTAGAAGTTTAAAACAAAATTCTTTAGGTGTGAGGGGGTTATAAACACTTGATACTAATAGAGAAGTAGGCTAACAAAACTGAGACAGTTCATGAAAAATAACAAAGGAATACTTTTGCATGAATGTCCCCGCCCCCCCCCCAATAGTCTGCTCTTAAGCCAAGTGTTTGTAACAAATGAATATAATTTGTCATCTTTCCACCACTGAACCCACAAGTTACAGCCCCGCTCCTGTGCCAGGCAAGTCCACTACGGGCTCACCATAACCCGTGCTACTTGGAACTTTTTGTTCCCAGTAGCTGAATCTATTAACAACCACCACTGAACCTAAATGGAATGTCTCTCCCTTTCCTATAGAGACGGTGGTTGTCTTGTAAATGTAGCTAAACAAGTAATGAAGCTGTTGTGATAATTAGTATTTTTATATTCTGCAAAAGATTTAATGATTTCGGCACGAGCAGATGTCTGCAGTTATTACCCGTGCACACATTGTTAAAGTTTGAACCAGTTACTGCGTAACGTGGTGAAGGTGGGGTCCCTCGATTGTTTCAAGCGTAGGTTGGACATGTATACGAGTGGGATTGGATGGTTATAAATAGGAGCTGCCTCGTATGGGCCAATAGGCCTTCTGCAGTTGCCTCTGTTCTTATGTTCTAAACATTCAGTAGAATAATTTATAGGGTGGTTTCATACAGCTGTTAAAGAATTATATCGTAAAATAGACCCCCACAGCCATCACATAACAGTGAGTCCCTCTACCGTTCTTGACTTGGCTGCGATCCCGCTGGGGGCTATTGGTATACTTGAATAAGATTTCAGATTGACCAGACCACACTTGAGAATGGCGCTTCGACTTGAGAATGGTCCAGGACGGACCGAAACGTCGTCGTCCCTTTACCTTCTAGTGTGTGGTCTGGTCAACGCACACTAGAAGGTGAAGGGACGACGAC